GTTTATATAACGGTGCGGCTAATCTATGGATTTTTACTGCTAACGGCCACTAGGGGACCTCCTAAATCTATGGATTTTACAGGTTACAGTCCACCACCTTTAACTCTATGGGCTCTATGGCCGGTCCGCGCCCCCCACCTTTAAGCGGCGGGCTCCAGCAGGAAAAGCTGGAGGCCGGAAAAGAGTGAGACAGGTAGCGCGCAAAAGTAAAAGTGGAACCGAGAGTGGTACGAGAGACAGAACGAGAGCAAGACAGACAGACATTACGAGAGCGAGACAGTTTGTCCCCGTACCACTGGTTGAAAACCACTGCTGTAGATCACTGCCGGTACGTGGTAGCGCACCGTTTAAGTTTGAAAGTTGAAAAGTTTGTGTGTCTGAAACGCTATGTGATACAGTACAGTTTACACAGCACAGTACATGTTCTGTAGCTACTATTGCACTAAATGCTAACACTTGAATACGTTATGCAAATATGCAACTTGTTTGTTGAAATGTTAATAAATGGGAACTTCCTCAAACAGCCATCTCTTTCCCGACAATCCCCTCTGTGCACGAACCCTTACATATGGTAATGAAACATTAAAACACCTGCGGCTTATAGTCCAGTGCGGCTTATATATGTACACATCATTCAATTTAGCTGCTGCGGCTTATATTCAGGTGCGCCTTATAGTCCGGAAATTACGGTAATGTTCTACCAGACATTGGTTATAAAGGACTTGTTGAAGGATTTTTCTTTGATTGGATTCTCCATAAAAAAAAAAAAAATGCTTGACATTTACTCTGCATTTTTCCTCTTTTTTCTGTCCTCTGCAGTGGGTCAAAAAACCTTTACTGTCCAGCCGTTACCGAGGAGTTTGCAAGAAATCCTCCATGGACCTCTGGAAGGTTAGGGTGCCAACCAGGCCGCCGGCTCACCTCTGTGCCTGTGCCCTGCTGGGGAGAGTAGCCCAGAGTGTTGCAGTCACGCCTGGTGACCAAAAGGACGCAGAATGCACTTCACTCTTGCCAAACCTTAAGCACACAGGTACACAAACACACGCATAAGAAATAAAATGCCCTGTATTTTAGTTTTTCACGTTTCTCTTTGACGGACTCTGATGCTGTTTGATTTATTTTTGGGTGCAGTGTCAGAGCTGTTGTATGGACTGCAGTGGTGTAAGGAGGTAGAGTACACCCCCGCCTACAGCAGCCTGCTGACTGACTCAGGGCTGCTAGAAGGACTCCAGAAACAGGTTCCTATGAAAGACCTGCTGGGGACTCTCTACTCAAGGTGAGATACGCAGAAAATCAACCCGAGACTTTAATGCCCTTAAAGAAAAAGAAAGATATGGAACGTATTTATCAGCTTCAGAAGCAATGAATCCTGTCTTAATGCACATTTTCCATGGCAATTATCTGAATAGGTGTTTTTGTCTTGTTACCCTGTAGGTCATTGGAGGATGGAGGTCTTTGGTCTCTGACTCTAGAAAACTACATCCACACCAACAACTTGGCAGCCACTGGCAATGCGTCTGTGAGGAAGCTTTACGGCACCGCAGACAGGTTAATCCTTTATTCATTAATGTCATTATAAATGCTTTAACATTTGTATCTGGTCATACGACCTCTCAACAACACTGCAGTTTCTTGAAAATTGTCTGTGTTTGGTCAGTTTGTTCCCAGTGTGTCAAAGCAAACTGAGTACGCTCCAGGTACTCTGCCCCGCCATGATCAACGAAGACAGAGAGACTCTCGTTGCTCTGGCAACTGCTGGAATAATCAACTGGCAAGACAATGACGGTGAGAATACACACACACACCAAAACATACACACAAACACCAAAACATACACGCACAACTGTCTACATGGACATTTTGGACGTGAACCAGGCAAATAATCATCTTGGGCTGTGTGTCTCAGATGTGTATGGGTGTCTGGCGGTGCTGCTGTGCTGTCTTAAAGCCAACACCCAAGTGGAGGGAGAGGTGGTGCAGGCTGTCCTGGCCTCTGTGATGGAGTGGAGGACCGGCAAGGAGGACTGGTTCCTCTTTAGCAGGTAATCACACAAACTGTCACTCTTTATATCTCTTCAAACTACATTTTTCTCTTTTTATTTAAATGTATCACGTCTTTCAGTGACCTGTCCAAAGCAACTGCAGAACAGCTGAACCTCGCTGTGGAGATAATGCGTTTCTCTACCTGGATGGTGACTCATTGTCCGACGGTTCTCGGGGGCAACCAGTGGGACTTCGTGCTCTGCTCTATGTTAGCCTGGTTGGAGGTGAGACGGAGATCTTACACTCATTGTGTCGTTTTGTGACTTTTAGTTTATTGTCAGCTACAAAGGGTGAATCTTCTGTCCCTCATTATCTTTGACTCTATGTGTTCGTTTCCAACCTCAGACTGCCAGCGAGAATGTGAGCAGCCTCTGGAACCCGTGGGTGCAGCTGTTTGTGTGCGAGTCAGCTGCATTGATAGTGGGGCTGAATGAGTTCTTCTCATCATCATCATCGCCCGAAGTAGCGGAGAAGCTGCCGTCCGCACTGGCCGCTGAATGGAGAGACTTCTTCGTAGAAGGAATCTACAACCTGCTACTTCCTCTCCCCATCAACATCACAGGTTATTAATTGAGCAGGTTATCAAACAATCTCTGGGAAACAAGAGGCGCTTTCACACCGGAGTACTTTTCCCAGTATAGTTCCGAAAATGTACGTTCACACCAAAATGATCCGGAACTAGAACTTAGTTTATGAGAACCTTTTCAGTCCCAGCTAGAGAGCAGGTACTTTCGTGGGAGAAAAAGGTTCCCATTTCTGATTGGCTGGGCGGATTCTAAACCACGCCCCGTAAAACTCCCAAAAAGTTTTGTGAAGCCGCCATTTTATTTTCCTCACATTAGCATTATTAGCATTAGCATTAGCCCAGCGCACAAACGCAGAGACTAACTTATGGCAACACAATAGAAAACATGGGAGCGGTGGAGATGAGGAGGTGTCGGCATTCTGGAGATTTACTCGGAAGGCTTCAGTCCCAGGGAGTCCCAGCAGCTTCTACTGAAGCCAGTCCACAACTCCAGGGACTTCCGGCCGGGGACTTCGGGTGGCAGTATGCCTTTGAAGTTGTTTGCGCCCTGCCAGTAAACCCAAAGCAGCAGAAGAAGAAGTGACGTCAGCGGCTTCATTTGCCTAATCCTTTCCCAGGAACTTCTTCCGGTGTGAAAGCGATCTCTACTTAGTTCATGAGAACTAAAGAACTAAGTACAGCAAAGTACTTGGTGTGAAAGTGCCTATTGAGACTCTTAAAGTCCAGAACTCAAAACTAGCCTAATACAATTACGTAAGCAATATATCTTGTATCTAAGTCCTTCTGTCTGTTTGCTGTCTTTATCCAGAAGCCTTCCCTGAACCAGATGACCCTGTGTTCCCATTGTCGGTGGTGCAGTCGGTCGGCGTGGCTCTGACACATGTGCCTCTGCATCAGCTCAAAAACAACTCCCTGCCTCCACGGTTCATAGCAGACCAGAAGACAAACCTGCCAGAGCAGCTTCAGACGCTGCTCAACACTTTATGCCCTCTGCTGCTCTTTAAGGCCAGGCCTCTGCAGATCACTGTCTACCACTTGTTAGAAAAGTAAGGTTTGTTTGAGAGTGTGTGTCAGTGTGCAAACACAAGTGACTGTTCCTAGAAAGAAAATCTGCTCAAATGTTCTTTAGTTCTGTGTTATTAAAGTGTTACACCTACCCTGAGATATGTAGGGCTCTGCAGGAGATCGGGGGATAATCACCTGGTCTTAACACACATACTTTTTGTCAATACAGGGTGATGCCTTATCTGCCCGAGTGTGATGGTGAAGGAGACAACAACAAGTCTGATGATGATCGAGATGAGCCATGTCTGTAAGTGAATGGAATACATATCTTTTCTCTTAAGTCTCACTCATGTTACGTTACATAAGTTCTTGAAGTGTTAAAAAATATATATATTTTTGGGAATTAAAAAAAATTCTTCTTACAGTTGTGTTTCATTTGTGTGTTTAGTTCCCCCCCAGCATCTCTAATGGCCGTCCTGACGACCTGTGAGGAACTGTGCGATAGCATCTTGGCCGGGGTTCAAGTGGGCGAGTTTGCGGTTGTGCAGCCTCTCGGTGTGGAGTACTCCTGCATCCTGGGATACCTCCTGGCCTGGAAGCTGCTCCTCACTTTTTTCAAATCTTCACCATCCCATGTGAGTCATTATCTTTTTTTAAAGTAGTTTCGATTGTAGCTTTGAGACCATATTGGCAAACAGAGGAGAAAATGTGCTTTGAAGAATTGTCTAAGTATTGACTGCTCGTCTTAATCCTTTCTAGCTGCGAGCCCACTATGCCCAGTATCTTAAGAGAAGCTGCTCCCTCAACAAGCTGCTCCTTCACCTATTTAAAATGATGCCTGAGAACCCCATCTACCCCGGCCAGGGGGCGGAGTCAAAGGAGACCAAAACCTTCTTCACAGAGAGCCAGTCTCTATCTGTGGACAGTAAGTAAAACACACACACCTCCATGACTTCTGTAAAAGCCTGCGACATGGGAACAAGCTTAGATTTCCCCTCCTGGGTCTCTCTCCTGCAGACAGTGACGGTGTCGAGTGGGAGCTCCCTCACCTGGCCTGCAGCGTGTACTACAGCACGGTGCAGGACCTGCCGGCCATGGTGCGGCTGTGGTGGAACGGCCAGGAGAAGAGAGTGAGCACCACTGCGGAGAAGTTCACTATTAAATACGTCAGCCCTGTCCTCTCGGCCCAGGAGATCTCGTCTGTCCACTCCAGCACTCAGATGTTCGAGAGCATGACTGTAAGTTAGAACATACAATGCTCTGTGTGTATCTACATCAGGGGTGTCCAAACTACGGTCCGGGGGGCCAAATGCGGCCCACGGGACATTTTGAATCGGCCCTCGGCAAATTCTAAAAGTGTAATGAAATACGGCCCGTAAACGAAACTTGAGCTTTTCTTCTATTGTACTTATTAAATATATCTGTAAGCATATATTACACAGTAGTGTCCAATTTACCATACATTCAGTCAATTACATTTGAAAATATGTTCTAACAAATCTAAGTCGATAAGAAAAATGCCCAATAACTTATATACATAACAAACTTGAAATATACCCTTCCTATTTCCTCTTATGATAATCAACCTGGGGCTCCTGTAAGGGATGAGCTGCAAACAAATGAAATGAATCCCTCTGGAGAGCTGGGATGTAGGCTGTTTATTTGTCTTTTAAGTAGATTCAAGTATCAAGCATCATTTACCTACTTTTAAATGATTTTGCTAACTTATAACTTATGAGGCAGTATACCTCACCTCGAGTGAGCGGCCCGGCCCTTCGAATATCTTTCTATATGTGGCCCTCGGTGAAAAAACTTTGGACACCCCTACATCTACAACTTTCAGTAGTTCAAGGTTACTTACTGTAAGACCCCCCATGGCGAAGGCAACCCGCTTACATATTGTTTTTCCTTATCGCCCCAGGTGAAGGCCCGCTCTGCAGCGCGGGAGGTGATTGCTACCTATTCTGTGGATGACATCTTCATTGAGTTGGTGATTCAGCTTCCACAGAACTACCCTCTGGGCTCTATCACTGTGGAGAGTGGGAGGCGTGTGGGAGTCGCCGTGCAGCAGTGGAGGAACTGGATGCTGCAGCTGAGCACCTACCTCACACACCAGGTAGCAACACAAACACACTATGAATATAAATGAAAGGCATTTCTGTATTAAGTAGTGTCGGTGAGGACCTGTAGCTAGATCATATCTCTACCAGTGACGTTTCTTAAGAAATACACGCCAAGGGGGGTTTGAGGAAGATATTTTTCTTGGCATCAGAAAAGAATACCATTCAGAAAATGTAAATGTGTGTTTGTGTTCAGAATGGCAGCATAATGGAGGGCCTGGCGCTGTGGAAGAACAACGTGGATAAGCGCTTCGAGGGAATAGAGGATTGTATGATCTGCTTCTCTGTGATCCACGGCTCCAACTACTCCCTGCCCAAGAAGGGCTGCCGCACCTGCAAGAAGAAGTTCCACTCGGCGTGTTTGGTGAGATATATGTTAATATTTCATTGTTAGAAATGTTTGTTAAAGATAAACATGTTGTCCGAATATAAGCAACCAGGCACAATTATGTTTCATGGGAACTTTTCCTTTTAATGATAATTAAATGAAGGCATCATCAGGGTGTCCGCGGGGTCTTAAAAAGTATTAAAAGTTGATAAATCAATTTAGCGAAAATGAAGGCTATTAAAAGTATTAAACGGCATTTTCCAGGGTATTACATTTTGTAGCTTGTTTTCAATAAGTATATAAATTGTCCAAAGAGGTTGTATTCTACAGTCTGCCTGAATGTAATCATTGCGTAGGTGTGTAGTGTGATTCTGTGTAGTTTATTTATGGCATCCCGTTGGATTTGACGTCATCTGAACAGGACATCGCACGCTCACTGCTTGATCGCGGGCGAAGGTCCGTTTATACCGGTTGTTAAACAACATCGTTATGGGGAAATGCAAGTCTGCGTCCAAATGGTTGGAAGATAAGGAGGAAGGACAATCAATACTGTATATAGTAAATGTGAGGTCAAGTGTGTCGCCAAGGTAACCGGTTAAAGCTCCAAGTGGAGATGAGGTCTTAAAATGTAGGAAAGGGTCTTAAAAAAGGTCCTACATTTGACTTCAGGATTCCTGCATATATCCTGATTATTTATAAATCCACAATCCACTACTAGTCATCATCCATCTAACAAATACCATTGACAATTTTATTCAGAAAAAAATATAGGTTAAAGTGAACATACTGTACTTTCTGACATTGTTGTATTTACACTGATATATATGTTCTCATCTTTCTACAGTACAAATGGTTCACCTCCAGCAACAAGTCCACCTGTCCTCTGTGCAGAGAAACCTTCTTCTAACCGCAGCTCTAAAGGTTTAAATTAAACAGCAGTTCAATCTAGTGATGATGAAATATCTATGACTTTAGTGTCCATATTCAGTAGCTGCAGTTGTTAAGCTGTCAACTGTTTGTTTATTCCACTGCTGTGCTGTATACGTGAAGCATCAGTAGCTCGCTCAGATGTTTTTCAGTTAATAATGAGATTTTATCTTTTTGCCGATTTCATTTTTCATCGTTCCGAACAGTGTTTGTAGGAGAGGCTAAATCACTAAGTTGGAAACAAACCAAAGCTGGCCAGGTGCTGCAGTCGTAGAGAAACACATGTCCTAATAAGTCATTTTTAAAACTAGAAAAAAAACATGATGTAAATATTGCAAGGCCAAGGACAGGTTTCACATGTTTTTTTCCTAATATTTAGGAGTTTAAAGAAATTATGTCTGATTAGTGACATGCCTTATATACCATTATGACATTGTGACATCACCTACGATAATCAAGACGGGGAGCTTTCTTATTTAAAATGTCCATGCTCACACATTCAATGTCTTCCCCTGGGCCTGTGTACATCTGTACACGATGCTGGAAAGGAAATAAAAACATCTATGGATACTATTTGATGAATACAATGTGTCTTTTATTCAACACTTATATCAAGGGGTCAAATAATCCAACCATACATACATATAGAAGAACCCATGTTAAAAACATAAACTCATATTTAAAAATATATATATCATTTGTCATTTGAATGTGTTCTTGAACATCAATGCAAGCCTTACACGGCATACACATATTTCTAAGTGCTGTTTTCAATGTTATAGACTACAGTGAGCCATATTAAAGCTTTCTAGATATGTACTACATTCATTGCATTCGCCTATGACTCATTGCATATAAATGAGTTTGTAAATGGCTTTGTATAATAACACTAAAGGCTGATCTGGCAGGATGTTACAGACCGAGCACAGTCTGAACATTTGTCCTTTGACGGAGGCGCAGAACAATGCAGGAATATATAAATCTAGCACAAAGACTTCTTCTTTTTTTTACTTTGCACACACACCTTTATTAATCTGAACCCTGATGTATTGCTATTATCTGTATCCATTCAATCCCTTTGACAAAGCCAGCCTCTTTCATACGTTTACCTAGCATATTAACAGAGCTTCTGTAAGTTAAAAGATATAATAATCGCAAAGGAGAATAAACGAATACACAGCCGAAAGCACAAACCTATTGGGGTTTGATTCCTACTGGGAGCAGCTCTGCCATTAACAACCTATATATACACAAGGGTATATAGGTCAACAATTCGTGATATCCTTTCGTTTTATCGTACATAACTTTATTCAAAGTCCACTTCCAAGAACTGTTATGTTAACCTGAGCCTCCAATTACAGTTGTATGATATTTCCACGCAACCTTTACTGTAAATTAACCTGTGCTACTTTCCGAGAAAAGACTGTAATTAGCCTCAACCTGCGGACTGCTGGCTCCAGTCTCCAGTGCTCATTTATCTTGGGTCCACCTCCTCCTCATGTTGAATAATTTATCTGTTTAATGGAGGCTTGCTCTCATCACAGTTGTTCCTATGGAATTAATTATGACAGATTAAGCATGATCAATGAATTAATCCCTATCATTTGGTCTGCCGTCTGTGTGTGTGTGCGCGAGTGTGTGTGATTGTAATTCATTACTGCAGTGAAAACATATCAATATATACAGCCAGCATCCATCATCATCTGCCCTTGACCTTTTTAATGGCCATTGATCTGTTTGCCATGCATAAATATTTATACTGAAATCCGCGTGTCTCATGAGTTTTGACACACACACACTCCTACAGAAATCGTATTGCTCATTATGTGCTTGATTAATCAGTGGTGCAAATGTTATGAACTACAATACAGTCCGTTGTGCAGCCTAGACTTCTTCCTCATATGGGTCAATGCTTACCAGAAGATGGCAGCATAAGCACAAGATACGGCTGTGAGGACTACTGTTTGAGGTGATCTGTATATTAACCTGGAAGGAAATTGATTATTGCTCTGGAATATCAAGGGAGATTAAATTACCTACAAAAATCACATTTGTTGTGTTACATCTTCTGTCTTGTTGCTTTTCCAGACAACTCATATTTCAGCTCATCCAAATAATTAAAGGGGAATTAATACAGGGTCCCACTGGGATTATTAATGTGTCATCTTTAATTACTCGAATTAATTTGATGAATACATTCAGGGAGAATGCTGGAGCCTATCACATCTGACTGTTGGAGGAATGCTCCAAACATTCTTGACTATGAAGATATGAATAGTTTTCTAGGGATGGGTGCCAGTCAGCGTGGAGATTAGTGATTTATCCCATTCTGAAAATAGCCTGAACAAATATTAAAATATCAATTTACACACTTACATATTTCAAGTGTACTTAAACATCTTCAAACTGTTGTTGTTTGTTTGTGTTTGTAAGTCTTTGTTCTCCTATTACATACAATCAGTCCAGACCATTGTCTCATTTGTATGCATATATTTTTCCACTTCTAAATGAAAAGCATCACTTATGCATTGTCGAAACGCAATAAAACGATTTTTGATCAGAAACATCTTGATATACTTGGCTTGTTTACCAAATTTGTCTCATACATATAATAAGAAAAACGAATGACGACTTATCTGCATTGCAAAGCATGTTGTTGATCAGGCGATGAAAACAGAGCGCATATTTTACACTTGCCTCCTTTCTTAATACTGAAAATGCTTACATTGCCGGATCCATGCACTATCCGCCTTCCTAACCCTGACCCACTTGCATGAAACTGCTGTAATAATACACGCTCATTAGCAGCCAACCTGCCTACAACCAGTCAGTTCAGCGGTCTTTCTGGCCTTCGAACCTGCTGGTGGAAGCTTGGTTTCTTCATAATTAGCTGCATGCAGTTAGCTCTCATTTAGCTCTCCCTGACCCGTTTGGGAGAAAATTAGCATTCCAAGCCTTTTGCAGGAGGCTGGTCCCATCTCAAACAGTCACGCCACTCCTCAACACTGCAGGCAACGGCTCGGCTCTGAAAAATGTCTTTGAGTCAGTCAGTCTGTCTGTCTGTCTGTCTGTCTGTCTGTCTGTCTGTCTGTCTGTCTGTCTGTCTGTCTGTCTGTCTGTCTGTGTGTGTGTGTGTGTGTGTGTGTGTGTGTGTGTGTGTGTTTGTTTTGTGCCTATCAGTATTACTGCTGATATGAGTTCTATTGAAAGGGATCCCACACAGTCATTTTATTTGCCTCTGTGTAGCCATTCTCCCGCCTTCATCGTGTCTCTCTGTGTCTCTCTCCCATTATCCTCGTCATATAGCACACTATGAAATAACACAGTGCGTACAATCAATATCTGCATTTGTTTAATGTAATCTTGGGAATATATCAGGTTATTGTGTCCTAAACGAAAGCAGGCAACTTTACAGTTTTATTCTCTCAACTGCACTCAGAAGCAAAAAGGATCAATTTTATTAACATTTGACGTTTTCATATAATGAAGGTAATAAACAATGATTATTGACCTCAATCTATTGACTCCTAGACATGCATTTGTATTAGTCATTACGGCTGGAAAAGGCCGCCTGGTGTGCCACAGTTTAAATCTACTGTTATTACTCTGTCATCACGTACAGACCTTTTATGGTTTTCTATTACCGCTGCCATGTTATAGCAGCAATGGAGGACGAAAAAGAGCAGGTGGCTGAGTGTGCTGTTTTCTCTGAAAGACTCTGGCTGTGATTCAGAACCACAGAGAGTAGATTTACAGAGAATAATTCTATATTTTAAGACTATAGAAATAAAAAGAACAACTCAGAAAAGAAAAAGCCCAAGCATGCAGTATCATTTTTATCACAGAATATGTCGTAACAGCGAGACGAATAATTTTAAAGCCTTGTATAATTTAATTTTGCTATGTGGTCAGTATGCATAATGCATTTAAAAAAGGCAAATGACCCAATAAGTCGAATTGAACTCACTCTCTCCAATGATGAAATGTATCAGCCAAAGGGGCAATGCATGCAAAAAGACTGGTTAAGTATTCCCAAGCACTGCTTAAGGTCGGAGTGAAGCGCCAGCAGCTCTGCCTACAAATAAAAACTGGTGGTGAACTTTTTTGTCCTGACAGAAAACCCAAAATAGGGCCCTATAGTCTACATGGAAATAACAGCACATGAGAGGTGTTAAAGGAACCCGAGCATGAACAAATCCCTTTAGAGGCAACTAGGACAAACACACGAGTGGTACTTCCCGAATATTTTAGGGTGTGTGTGTGTTAACTCCAGCACATTAGCTAAATAGAAGGAGGGCTTCACACTTCTGGCAACAGCTGCCTCCGAGTTCCCTCTGCAGTGTTACTCTGGAATAAAACTGCAGAGCTATACTGTTCACTCTTTATGGCTCAGTGCAGAGGCAGCAATTAGAGACCAAAAGTTCACATACAGACTTCAATCACATCCCATCCCCTAAATTCTGAAAAAACCCACAGGCATGCACATATATTACATACGCTTTATATATTGTGATAGAGGCTAAGAAAATGGACTTCTATTCCCCGCGGCAAAATTTGATTTACCGTTCTATTTAAATGGCCTCACTGTTTCAGAGGAGGTTGGTGTTTCCAAAGCTAAGCCTGAGGGTGTGGAGATACATCATTCCGTAAAGAAACCAGACATTTAACACAAAAGGCATACTGAGTAGCGGAAACTGCACTGCAATTAGCCCAAAACATGCTCTGAATTTAAATACAACATTTATCCCAACAGGAAAACTTTTTACCTTAGAAGAGAGGGATTGTTTTTGCACAGTATCACTCTAAGAAAAAGACATTAGTCTCAAACAAAACGTGTCATTTTCTCACATTGACATCGAGCTTCCCCTTTGCCGACATCATTCAGAGACATACAGATTTCTCTTTAGTAACTGGACCACCTACCCCCCTCGGCTTGTGCTGTATTTTATACTGTGGTGAGTATATCAGAGTCTGATAGAGGCTGCTTGGGAGCATCCATCATCAGAATGACTCGGCTGATAAACAAAAGCATACAGCGCGATACGGCCCGGTGCAGTGACACAAACCAACTGAGAAAAGCATCAGATCCTTGAAGTTTTTTCACAATTAGGTAAATCCTAATTGCCAATTACTTTGATTTGTAATCCTAAAGGTATTTAATGAGCTCATTTAATGGTGCCATGGAGCATGATAGAGTATGATAATTGGTTTTTATAAGAAGTTTTCAAATCGAGGTGTGCCTGTGACGTGGGTGGAGCCACTTATGGTGGAGCCATTATGAGGCATTACGGGCAACGTTTTCTACAAAAGAACTTCTGGAAAGAAATCCCAGCTGTAGTCCTTCTGATCAAAATAGACACGGTTTTGAAGTGAGATGTTTTGGAGCTGGCAGCTCTCCTCTTAATGATCATCCCCTGATAATGATGTGTATATGTACATCCATCTTCAAGGGTAAAACTAAAAGGTTAAAAAAGAAGGCATGCAGGATGCTGGCCAAGCTGTAAAAGTGGACGTTTCACTCTCCAGTTCTAACAAGGTCGGATCTGTCAGGAGAGAGTCAGGCCGGGGAACTA